CCAGTAGAAGAGTACTAGGATAGAGTAAGTTGTCCAAAATCACCTGCCTGAGTGGCAAAGAATTTATAGCTGGGTTTAAATCAATTGCGGTTGAATAAGTTAAAGTAGCGTTGAGCAAGAGGATAAAGAATAGCATTAAAACTGCTTAAAGAACACTTTAAATGCCCCTGCTTGGCATTTTCACACTTCCCAGTAGTCTTAACTATCATAGCACATATATTTTATTGTAAATTTATGTTTAGATATTTCTACCTCCACACCATGACTCTTCTGAGTACAGAGAATGTGTCTATTTTGCATAGTCTAGCAATTATCCCCAAGCACCTAGCCTAGCACAATACTAAACATATATTATTCTTTAAATAGTTGATAATTGACTAAATATTAAATAAATTATATATGTAATAATTAGATAAGCGAAAGTGTCATGTAGCCTGTGGAGTATGGGTTCTACTGGGGAAATATCTGTGATACACAATGTCTTTTCCTCCTACGTCAACCTATTGATATTTGTCTGCTAAGATTAAATCTTTAAAGAGATATCTTCCTAAACATTTAAAAGATATCTTTTCATTTGGACAGGCCTCCAGTCAGGTCTTTTTGTGTATTGTTTTACTCTACAATGGCTGGAATCACTTGAGGAACTTTCAGTATTTATGGTCTGTGTCTAATCCCAGAACAAATGAATCAGAATTCTGGACTAGTGCCTGAGCATTGGTATTTTTTTTATAATCTCCCAGATAATTCCAGTATATGGTCAAGTTGACAGTAACTACTCTAGCCAGAGAAGCTCATAAAATATAAGTACAAGCCATCTAAAATTAAAACCTGTCCAGACGTATAATTGTAGAAATATTTTGACTTGTGTCATTAGATATATTATTTAAACTTTACCATTGTGAGAATAAAGTGGGAATAAAATACCTGCCTCAGGTGAAAATGCTTTGGGAAAAAAGGTATAAGGGTTATATAAATTTAAGATCTATTTTATTAATTTAAATAAAAAATAAAGATGTTAATACTTTGGACTTAATCCAAATTACAAAACATTACAAAAATTAAAATATTTCCCTTTTCTTCAGACACAGCTGAGTTTAGGAAGACGTCCAATTATTTCAGATTGGTTGGATTACATTCCTTCAACAAGATACAAAGATCCATGTGAGCTAATACATCTTTGCAGAATAACCATCAGGACTCAACTGTTAACCAACAATATGCTCCCAAATGGAATATTTTCACTTTTAATTCCTGTTCGTCTACAGAACTACCTGAATTTAGAAAGCTGATTAATACACATCTTTACCCTAAGTTCCTTAAGGATGCCTACTAATGTATGACTTAGAAGTTAATAAACTATTAACTTCATGTAAGTTTTTATTGCACTGAACATCCATTGAGAAAATATATTTTCATATAACACCTCAAATAGATCACTTTTTAATCAATATGTGACTCTGCCCTGTGTACAGTGGAATAAATGATACACATTTGCTTTTAGATGAGGTCTCACTATGTTGCCCAGCGCTGGTCTCAAACTCCTGGATCAAGCAATCCTCTCGCCTCAGCCTCTCAAGTAGCTGCGTCTACAGGCACCTGCCACTGCACCCAGCACATATTATATGCATGTTGATACAAAGAGAAAAGAAATATTTTGATCCAACATTGCATCAAAATGAAAATGTTACCAGTTAAATCTGTATGTTCTTTGGTTACAAAGAAACTTAGCTTTAAAAACTGAATTTACTTGAAGACAATTTTTTAGCTCTTTTCTTTCTAAATCCCTAGGGTACCTGACTTTTCTCTCTGTATCCATGTGGTCTAGCTTCAACACAAAGGTGAGAGAAGTGGAAGACAGTTCTTTGTGGATCTCTCATGTTACTGCCTATCTTAGGAGCAGAGGCACTAACTTCTATTCATTATGGACTAGCTTTTCAAGGATGTTTGTATAGTGAGCAGCTTTGGAAGACAGACATAGTGTCGCCCTCTGGAGCAGAGAGTAGGTTTGCTTACTGTCTAGTATAATGAAGGTAATATCTTCCTTCAGGGCAAAGGGAAAAGGTTAAGCTGGTTTGCTTGAAGCTCATTATAAAAGATTGGAATTTCTCAAGCTTAGAGATCCTCAGCTATGACACACATCCACTGTGTGCCTATCTCCTTGGACCATGCTATGTCTTTGGGGGTGAGCGTAAGTGAAACAAACACAAGCATGAAGCTCATGCTGTTTGCTGTTCAGTAATAAAGTCCTTTGTTCCAACCCAGGAGTCTTTTGTCTTCTGACAGCAAAAACTGTGGTAGGCTAACTACTAGTCTGCAATTAGGGTAAAAATCTCAGACTCTTAATAGCTCTGACAATGAAGATCTGTTCCCACCTCATCACTGTATATTTTAGGACCAGTCTTAGTAAATAATAACAGATAGTAGCACTTTCCACCACTCACTTGCAATCTGGGGACTATCAAAATTTTGACATTTCATAGGAAAAGAGTGTTCATGGTAACTGTGTGAATATTATCGTAGTTTCTAAAGGACAGAACGTAAAGCAGCAAAAGTAGCAAAGTAGCAAAGACAAGGAGCAATATAACTAGATTGTCTATTTTTTCTTTCCTTCCACTTTCATTTAAGTAAAAAACAAATACATTACAGATTGAATTATAGAAATGTTTATTTACACACTGAATTAAAATACATTTTATTATAACTGAGCATATTTTTAAGCTCATAAATACAAAGGAAGTTCATACTATATACAGCATATTAACATTTGAGTATTTACTTTTACTAATAACACATAAGATAGTCATATATTTTAGTTGAAAATATGTGTTAATATGAGGAAAACCCAAAAGCTACCTTTAGTCTAGCTCTAGTATATAAAGAAACATTAGATTGCTGATCCAGATGAAATGATATGTCTGGGTAAATACTTCAGCACATCTTTTTACAATTATCCTTTTCTTCCATCCTTCACTTCTTATATCTTCAAATCTAAGAAAGCTTGATGAATTTGGTGTAATCATCTCTTTTACTGAACATGGTTCATACCTATCCTAGAGGGTGGGCAATAAGCAGCATCTAAGTTTCAGGAACTTCTTTCTACTGGAATTCTGAGTACTTCCATATTTCTTAACATGACTGATGGCATCACCAACCAGAATCATCTTTAACTCTTCCTTTCTGTGTTGGTTTCCTAGAGTTGCCATAACAAAGTTCCACAAACTGGGTGGCTTAAAACAATAGAAAGTTCTTGTCTCGTAGTTCTGGAAACTGAAAGCCCCAAATCAAGGTGTCACTAGGACTCTGCTCCCTCTGAAACCTGAGAATCCTTTCTTACCTCTTTCCAGCATGTAGTGGTTTTCCAGCAATCTTTGGTGTTTCTTGGCTTTGTAGATGCATCACTCCCATCCTCCCTTTTCACAGGAATTCCCTGTGTGAATGCCATATGAAGAGGCATCTTTTTATAAGGACAACTGTCATTTGGATTAGGGGCCCACCCTACTCCAATATGACCTCATCCTTTCCAATTACACTTTCCATGAACCTACTTCAAAACAAGGTCACATTGAGGTATTGAGGTTTAGGACTTGGACATATCTTTTTACAGGGGACAAGATTCAACTCATAAAACCTCCTCACTAAAATATTAGGTCAGTCACTAAATCTAGTTAATCAGTCACTAAATCTCCCTAATATCTTTCAAATCAATGTCTTCTTTCCCTGACAAGCCATTCTGCCCACTCTGCTCCTCTCCTCCCACATACATTTGTCCTATTTTCATCGTTTCTACCTTTATCCCTCATCAACTCTACTGAAATAGTCTCTGAAGCTATTTGGTCTCCTTGACTGTGGTTTCATCCACCCATCTCAGCATTTTTTAAGCTACATCTAGATGATCTTATTACAATGAAAATCTACTAACAATCATTAGCCACCACCACCATTACTCCTCCCCAAACCCCCAATAACAAACACAGCTTAAAACTCTGCAGTGATTCATAGGAGAAATTGATATAGAGCAGCATGCTTCATCCTTTCATCACTCTCTCATGTGCACTCTATCCTCCAGCTAAACCAAACTGCTTACAGGTTCACATCTCTTCGTTTATACATATGCTGATCCTTCTATCTAAAAATAACTTTACCTTCCTAAACAGCTCACATATTTTATCTTTTAAAATCCATTTGACCCACAAAAATTATGTATTCTTTGTGCCATTACCTTAATACATTCCTCTATTATTTTACTTATTACATGGTGTTTCAATCCTTACATTTTTTTCTTTATTACACCTGAGGTCTTCAAAGTCTGATAGCCTATCTTTTGTACTCCTAACACCTAATATGTTGCCTGGTCCATTGTCAATATTTATTGAATTACATTTACTTTATGGCTTTCTAAAACTAAGACTTATTCTAAAACTTTTGCTTGAAGGGACAGATTTAGATATGTGCTATCAGAGAGGGTAAGCTAAAAGAGGCTAAAAATAATAGGAAAAAGAGAAATAAAACAGCATTGCTAGCTAAAGAATTTTCAGAATAAAGTATTGGTCACTATATACCTACTAGAATGGCTAGATTTAAAAAAGAAAACTGACAATACCAAGTACTAGTGAACATGAGGATCAACCAGAACTCTCATATATGGCTGATGAGAATGTAAGATGTTATAACCACTTTGAAAAACAGTTTGACAGCTTCTTATGAAGTTAAACATACACTTACCATATGACACAGCTATTTCAGTTCCATTTAATCTAAAATTAACATAAATGAAGACTTATGCCCTTACAAAAACTTGTACAGAAAGGTTTATAGTAGCTTTATTCATAATCATCAAAAATTAGAAACACAAATGTCCTTCAGAGAATGAATGGATAACAAACTGTGGCACACACAAACAATGGAATACTTGTCAGCAATAAAAAGACATTATCTTAAGCATTTGAGTAATGGAAAAACAAACACCACATGTACTCTCTAACTGATGGGCACACGTAGGCACAAAGAGATGTAAAGGTCATAGGAAATCAAAAGTGGGGTAAAAACCTACCTATCAGGTACAATGAACACTATTTGTGTAATGGGCATGCTAAAAGCCTTGACTTAAGCATTATAAAAGTTATCCATGTAAAACAATTTGTACACCCTTAATATTTTGAAATAAAATTTTAAAAGACACAACATGGATAAATCTCAGATGCATTATACAAAGTGACAGAAGTCAGTCTCAAAAGGTTACATATTGTATGGTTTCCACTTGTTGGACATTATGGAATAAACAAAACTATAGGGAAAGAACACAGGTCTGTGATTTCTGGGGTAAAGTTATGGGTCAGGGAAGGATTTGACTATAAAGAGAAAACACCCAGGTAGTCTTTTAGGGTGATGGAACTGTTATGTATTCTAATTTTGCTAGTTACATGAATGCATAAATGTACTAAAATTCATAAAACTGTACACCAAAAAAGAGTTAATTTTATTGAATATAAACTTGAAAATAAATTACTTCCTAGGCATGAGGATAAGCTGCCTTTCTCCTCCACTCCCACATACTTTACCCCTAAACTTGAAGAAGACTATCTTATGAAGGATTTTATCTTGTGAGGAGAAAGGTAGAAAAGACTGAAAAATGGCTTTGAGGGGGAAATTAAAGGAGTTTGCTAAAACATTATTGGCATTTATCTTGAAAGGCTGAGTTATGAGATAATAATCTATAATTTTAGAGAAAGGCAAAGACAAAGAAGAAATGAAGAGTAGAGCAAATAGATCTTAAAATTGAAGAATGGATTGTCTCTCTAGTATTCACCTTTGTTCTATAGTGCCATGGCATAATAATTATATATCTTCATTTGATTTGCTTTTTGGTATGTTTCTGCTATGTATAGAATGGTTAAGAAAAAGTAATTTAATTTTAAGAAGATATAAACCTATTTTTAATTCAGTATCTAAATCTAAATCTATTTCCTAAAAGGGATTAATCAGTTGGCTGCAGTTTTTGCATCAAAAACTATACCCGATGAAACATTCCTTAAAAGCTGGATGGAATCTAATATTGGGGTTAAATCTAAAATGAAGTTAATGTATTTCAGGAAATGATATTCCACATATTTGATACTTAGCAGCTATCTCCGTTTATGTTTTTTTCCCCACTGCCTATTCCTCTTGTCTTTTATTGCTTCCTCCCTTTTCTTTCTTGCCATCCCAAACAATCTGCTATGTCCTTTTCCTCCTCAGTGCCTTTTTGAAATTTGCCACAACCCTAAATTACTCAACTGATTTTAGGAATGACCACATACAATATAGATCATTTCAAAGGCTGTGAATTAAAATATGGCTAATAGTCAAATACAAATACTGTGATACTCTTTTGCTAAAACTTGACAATAGGGAATGTAAGCAGTCTAACAAGACATTTGATATATATTGAATGTAAAACTAAAATTACTTTACATTTAGTTTTCCAAAAAAGTATGGATGTCATTTAAGTTATAACTTTTTCAATGTATTTGGCTACTAATATTCGAATGCTAAGGAAGGGTTTAATAAAGTCAACAAATATTAATATTAAATATTATAAAATATAATATGCAATTATTTACAAAAAATATGCTGCTAACCAGTCTGTGAATAATTTGACGGAGTCTTTAGTAAGCTACCCCTCACTGAATAAATGGTTCAAATGTATACCTTAAATTCCAGATAATTGGTTGCCCTGTGTTAGGACTTTGGGCAGAGACTATGTCTATAAGTCATCTACTGAGATGAAAGTGTAGAAATACGACATTTCCAGTTATGAACAACTGGTGGTCTTCCATTCTCTTTTGCCCATTTACAAAAACAAGAATGACCTTTAGGTAAACCCTGAAAGAGTGGTGTAAACCACATGCCTATGGAACAAGTTCTTTAAAATACTCCCTAGTGAACCAATAACTGAGGCAAATAAACCAATATTACCCCTCTCCTGCCTTTTACTCACCCGATAAAGATAGCCAAAATTAAAATTGGAAAAAAGGAGGAAGTGAATGAGAAGAAAATAAGACTCCTGGTTACTTGAAAAACTGAAAGCCAGGTGATGATGTTTCCCCTCTCCCTTCTAGAAGTACTCTGCATTACGACATATGTATTTGTTTATTCTCACCCTTTAGAACTACATTGAATGTCAAAAGGAATATTTTTAAATTTCTAGTATCATTCTAATGAACTTCAGAACCAACCAGTGTTGGAATTTGAAGGTAATAATTAAGAAACTGTTGAGTCATAGAGTATTATTACTTCAGAATAGAATGTAAAAGAAAAGCTCAAATAAGGTTCTAGACCTAAAAAGAAAGGCTTTTTGTAAGCTAAGATATTTATAGTAATATTTTAAGCTATAATTTATAAGGATAAATAGACTTAAGACTTAACAATGCAAATTTTCATAAATGAGAAAACAGTTGTGCATTATACTTTTTTCTAACATAAAAACCATCCCTTTAAATAATTCTCATTTGTTAAGTTATAATAACAGAATTTTTTTCATGTAGAATATATAGATAATAGTGAGATTAATATAATGTAATTTTCAATTAAAATATAAAGTTTAACAAATATTATTTTCTTTTGCTCTCAAGAGAGCAAAGGTTCTCATATTAACCTAAAGAGTTTCCTTGTATTAACATATATTATTTCATTAGTACAAGATGTGAATTGCTACTATTCTTCAGTCTCCCCTGGAACTTGTTCAGCCCTGGCAAAATCATCTTCATACTTCTTCTTGAGATTACTTAAATATGTTCGTAAACTATCTGGATCCAATTGAGAGTTTCGGGCAGTTTGAACAAGCCTAGTGGCTAGCTGGTACACAGCTCTCTGTTTTTCCATCTCAGGGGTACTCCTTTGGTTTTGCTGTTATTGAAAAAAATGTATATATATACAAATTTAAAAAGAAATACTTTAATTTTTGTTTTAGTCATGCTTTGGCAATATTCTTTTTTTTTTATTATTTCAGCATATTATGGAGGTACAAATGTTAAGGTTACGTATATTGCCCATACCCTGTGCCAAGTCAGAGCTTCAAGCGTGACCATCCCCCAGACGGTGCACATCTCACTCATTATGTATGTATATACCCATCCCCTCCTCCCCACTCTCACCTGCCCACTACCCGATAAATGTTATCCCTATATGTCCACTTAGGTGTTGATCAGTTCCAATCAATACCAATTTGCTGGTGAGCTTTGGCAATATTCTATCTCCTCCCATAGAAATATGGAACTCAAGAGTCAATTAATTTCTTTGGATAAATGAGCTCCATCCACCTAGCAAAGAATATGACAGAAGAACTAAAGAAATATCATTTGGGAGAATAAAATGTCTCATGAGTATTTACTACTATTTCACAGATTCTTATATCCTTGAAAATTATATTTCAATGAAAAAAACTCTGCTAAATAGGTCAGATTTCTTAACACAATGCCAAAGAGTAATAGAGAAGCCACCAGAGATAGGTTCTACACACTTTCTCATTTAAAGGCATGAAAAAAACAACACTGCTCATTGCAGTAATCATACTTCCAAATGTTGCCCATGAATGACCACTCTGCTATCTCCTAATTTAATTACCCTATAGACAAACTGGTGGACAGTATGTGTCATCAGAAAACTTGTTGCCCTTAAAGAGAGTACACCCATGTAAATTTCTGGAGGCTAAGAGAAAATATGGCCTGAGGAGTAAATTACATTTTAAAAGTTACACAAATAGCTATTTGAAATTATGCCTTAATTCATAACCTATATTTAATGATACTCAAGAAATAATATTTTAAATGAGAATGCATAATAAATGGTGCTGAGAAAATTAGATAGCAGCATGCAGAAGAATGAAACTGGATCCCTATCCCTACCATATATCAAAATTAACTTTGAGAGAGATTAAATACTTAAATGTAAGACCTGAAACCATAAAAATATTAGAAGAAATCCTAGAAAAAAAACTATCCTTGACATTGGTCTAGGTAAAAAATTGATGACTAAGATTCCAAAAGCAAATATAAAAAAATAAAAATAAATAAATGGGCCTTGATTAAACTAAAAAGCTTCTACACAGCAAATGATATAATCAAACAAAGAGAATAGACAACCTATAGAATGGGAGAATATATTTGAAAGCTATACATCTGATAGATGCCTAACACCCAGAGTCTGTCTACAAGGAACTCAAACAAATCAGCAAGAGAAAAACAAATAACTCCACTAAAAAGCGGGCAGAAAACATAAACAGGATTTTTTCCAAACAATATACACAAATAGCCAATGAACATATGAAAAAAATGCTCAATCATCAGAAAAATGAAAATTAAAACCATGAAATGCCACCTTACTCCTGTCAGAATGACCATTATTAAAAGTCAGAAAATAATAGATGCTGGTACAGGGATGTGATGAAAAGGGAACGCTTGTACACTGTGGTAATATAAATTAGTACAACCTCTATTAGAAACAGAATGGAGATTTCGCAAAGAAATAAAAGTAGATCTACCATTTGATCTAGCAATCCCACTACTAGGTATCTACCTCAAGGAAAAGAAATCATTTTATAAAAAAGACACTTGCACCTGTATGTTTATCACAAACAATTCACAACTGCAATGATATGGAACCAACCTAAATGTTTACCAATTGATGAGCGAATAAAGAAAATATGGCATACAGATATGTGTATGTGTATGTGTGTATATCATAGAATACTACTCAGCCTTCAAAAAGAATGAAATAAGGCCTTTTGGAGCAACTTGGATGGAACTGGAGGCCATTATTCTAGCTGAAGTAATCCAAGAACAAAAACCCAAATAGTGTATGTTCTCACTTTTAAGTGGGAGCTACACAAGAGTATGCATGGTCATACAGAGTGGACACTGTAGACTAAGAAGTGGGAGCATGGGAGGGCAGTGTGTGAAATAAAAAATTACCTATTGCATACAATGTACAGTATTAAGGTAATGGGTATATGAAAAGCCTAGACGTCTCCACTATGCAATTCATCCATGTAAAAAAACCCCACTTGTATCCCCTCCCGAATCTATTTAAATAAAAAATAAATAAATAAAATAGGAATGTGGAAGGCTTTTAGATATTCAGTCATTGACTAGTACTTCGGGGCTGAGAATATAGTTGGAAAATTCTTATTTCACTTCTTTGTGTGAGATAGACAGAGGAGTTAGCATTTTCAGTCTTAACTGTTTATGGTAAGTCTTCATGAGTTTCCCCAAAATACAATCCCTTCAATTCTTTCTCAATAGCAAGCAATTCTCAATATTTTTCTACTTTAACTGTAGAAAAAATGAGTAAGATTCTATGAGGTAGAATAAGATTATCATGTATACTCATCTACCTATTTGATACATTGATCAATTGACAATTAGTCTATTATTTAAACAACAGTTATTGAATATCTAATATCATCTATGTTTTAGGCCTCAAAGCTTATGTATATATACCTATGAAAAATCTAAAAATGCATACATGACACAGTAACAGAACTCAAGAAGTTTACAGTCTTATAGTAAGAAAGCATTATTTACAAGCAACTGATTGTGGTAATTATGAAAAGTCCTATAAGAAACCATAATCATGTTCAGAAGAAGAGAAACTCACTTCCAGCTCAGGTCAAGAAATGCTTAAATAGGATGAAATATGTGAAATGAATCTTGATGGATAGAAGAGACTAGAAGGGAGGGTATTTCATATAGAGGAAACAGCTAGAGCAGGCACATTAGAAAGCATGATTTACAATCAGGTCAAAATGATAAAATGACAAGTAATTCAATGTGACAGAAATGTTGATTCTGTGAAACTGAATGATGTCATGTATAACAACCAAAGGGAGGTCATACAGCAGAAGTTAACAAACTTTAGAACCATATAAAGACTGGATAAAATGCAAATTCCAAAGCCAGAAGAGACCCTTAAAATTCTAGAATGGTACCCAGTATGTCAGGTATCTCAGGTGATTTTTTTTTTTAGGAAATCAGGTGATTCTAATGTAGATAATCCTAAAATATATTTTGAGAAATAACTACAGAATAGTTTTAACACTAGACTAAGGAGTTCAACTTTTATTCAGTAAGAAACAACTGAAGTTGTTCTGCTAAGAACTATGCATTAGGAGACAATTTGGTATACGTGTGTAGGATGGATGGGAAAAGAGGAAGAACTTACTGCATAGTCCTAATGAAAGGTGATTAAGAGGAAGGATCCATGGATGACTTTGGTGAGTCATGGGGAGACTTAAAAGTAAAGAGATGGGATGATTTTTCAGAAAATGGTAAGTTAACTTTGGACCTTAAACATAGGATAAGATATCAAGAGAAAATATGGAAAAGATATATAGACTCAGAGTTGAACAGAAATGACAATGAAAGCAGTGAAAAAGGATAAGATTACCAACAGTGTAGATTAAAAAAAGAAGAGAAACACGGGCAAAAATCTTAGAAACATTTATATTTAGTAAGTGGAATAAGAAAACATATTTGTGAAGAAAGGAAAGAAGGAGTAATCAAAGATGGAGGAGGATGAAAACATCTAGGAGAGAACAATTCCACAGTAGCCAGAGAGGAAAGAATTAAGAAAAGAGAGAGAAGGGTAGTGTCCAGTGCCACAGAAAGGTCACGGAAGATAAGAAATGAACAAAAGGCTAAGAGAGTTTATGATTAGTTGGTACTTAAGAGAAAAGTTTCAGTAGACTGATGACAAAAAGATTTAGTTTGCAACTGGGAAATGGAAGAAGTAAGTATAAATTATTCTTGATAAGTTTTCAGTAAAAAGAGAAGTAGGATACTAGCTTGAGAAATAGAGTAAAAAGGAAGAATCTCTTTGGAAAGACCTAAGCATATTCATAGAAAAAAGAAAAGCCAGAGAAGAAAATATTAAAGATGAGATGAAAAAGAGCAGAAAGAAAAAGTAGAAGTATATCTTAGAGGAGATGAAAAGAAGGTCAAAAAATTAATCTTAAAATATCTGAAAGGCTCTGAGAGGCCAAGGCAGGAGGATATCTCAAGTTCAGGAGTTCGATAAAAGCCTGAGTAAGAGCGAGAACCTGACTCTACTACAAATAGAAAGAAATTAATTGGCAAGCTAAAATTATATAGAAAAAATTAGCCGGGCATGGTGGTGCATGCCTATAGTCCCAGCTACTTGGGAGGCTGAGGCAGGAGGATTGCTTAAGCCCAGGAGTTTGAAGTTTCTGTGAGCTAAGCTGAAGCCACAGCACTCTAGCCTGGGCAACAGAGTGATATTGTGTTTCAAAAAAATTCTGAAAGGCAATCTAGTCCTCTGGGATAAAAGGGATGAGAGATGGTTGAAAACCAGAACTACTAAAAATGAAATTTTAAAGGAGGGAAGGCTCAAGGACTCATCAAGATGACTTCAAGTTTGTTAAAAAGTACAGGAGGTAAATTATCTGTAGAGAGTCAGAGGAGGAGGGCTCAGGAAGAGTGAAAATATTTTAAAAGAGGAATATTTTAAGGAAGCCACAGAGATCAATAAAAGAAAAAAAAAAAACAATTATAAACATCACCAAAATGGAGAGTAGAAGCAATCTGGCTTCACCTTTCCCACAGAAAATTAAAAACAAATATCCAGTGCCAAGATTATCACCAGTAATATCCCAGAATACAAATCAGAAGCTGAGATAATTCCTGGTGCCAGACAGAAGTGAAAAATTCTGAGAAGACAATAAAGATAACTTTATTCTGTGATGCCTTTCCCCCAGTCTGCCAGGCACCATGTGCGGAAAATTCCTCCCAGTCTAATAGTTTCTACACTGGAAAAAAGTGAAATTGAGGCAGAAAACCAGCTTCCCCACCATACTGGGTTCCATTGTAGGAAAACTGCTCCTGCCTCAACCC